TAAGTGTATTTTCGTTGTATTTTGAAATAGATTGGTTTACTTGAGCGTTGCAGTATTGTATTAAGTGTATTTTTCGTTGTTTTTGAAATAGATTGGTTTACTTGAGCGTTGCGTATTGTATTAAGTAATTTTCGTTGTATTTAAATAGATTGGTTTATTAGAACTATTGTATTAAGTGTATTTCGTTGTATTTTGGATTGGTTTACTTGAGCGTTGCAGTATTGTATTAAGTGAATTTTTGTTGTATTTTGAAATAGATTGGTTTATTAGAGCGTTGCAGTATTGTATTAAGTGTATTTTCGTTGTATTTGAAATAGACTGGTTTGTTAGGAGTGTTGCAGTATTATTAAGTGTATTTTTCGTTATATTTTGAAATAGATTGGTTTTATTTTGAGGCGTTGCAGTATTGTATTAAGTGTATTTTTNACTTCAACTGACAACCAAAAGCCCCGTATCCACGCAGCACAACCACACGCCCCCCTCGCGCCCCCCTCGCGCCCACTGAACTCACTCGCACAGCTCAGGGCCGATTTCGAGCCGCAAGATCTGGTTCCACACGTTGATGGTGACGTTGGGGCGCTGGCAGGACCTCTGCTCGATGCGGGCTTTCTCAGCGCATTCGATGAGCCGGAGGAACGCTGCGGGAGACGGGAAGGGGGTGAGACAGGGAGGACGGTGGTGGTGGGGAAAGGAGGGGAGGAAGGAGAAGGGTTAGGAAGAGGGGAGGGGACAATGGGGACGTGGCGAAAGGAGGAGGATGTGGAAAAGACGAAGTGGGAGAAGAAGGAGAAGGAGAAGAAGAAAAAGAAAGAGGAGGTGGAGGAGGAAAATAATAATAATAACAATAATAATAATAACACTAATGATAATAAGGAGGAGGAGGAGGAGGAGGCGGAGGTGGAAGACGAGGAGGGGAGGAGGAGGGGGAGGGAGAGGATGGGAGGAGGAGAAGGTGGAGGTGAGGCAAAAGGAGACAGTAGAGGAGAGGAGGAATAGGAAAAGGAGGAGGAGGAGGAAGGGAAGGGGGATGAGGTGGAGGAGGGAAAGGAGAAGAAGGAGAAGAAATCCATGGGTAGTAGTGATATTAATGATAAAAGTAACAGTAATAGTAGCAGCAGCAGCTGCTGCTGGAGTAATGCTAGTGCTAGTAGAGGAAAAAATAAGTATGAACAACGATGAGAAGATTATGGAGAAGCAAAAGAGAAGAGGAAGAAGGGAAAAAAAGAAAGAAAGTAAAAATGGAAACTAAAGATTGGTGCTGAAAATAAAGATGATCATAATAAAAGATGAAAAGTAAATGAAAAAGAAACAATTGTTTGAAACATGTTACAAAATAAGTAAATAAAAATGAGAAATAAAACAAATAATAGTAGGAAGAAAGACGACAAGTGAAAGCATAAAAAGAACTTACGCAAAAATCTATTCTCTCTGGAGTGAGGCGTGTTGCACAGGTAGGTGTGCACGCGATCCAGAGAGTGCAGAAGGTGACGGTACCTGTTGGGGGCCAATTAGAGGATTAAATAACATCTGTTGAAATTACTGGATTCATTTAAAAATATATTTTGTCAAAGCGCCCTTTTGGGAATGGCACAGGATTGGTTAATTTACAAAAATCTGAGTGGTTTCAGTTAATACACGTTGACAAACCACACACACACATACACAGAAGGATAAATGGGGAATCATATGTTATCCCTCCATTAGTATTACCTGAAAAAGTCATATCCACTGTCACAGTCGATCAATATGTCCTCAAAGCACTTGATGACGGAGCCAATTCGTCTGCAAAAAGAAAAATGGTATCATTTACTATCATGAACAGACCCATTCAAAATGCACAAAGACGGCACAGTAAAACAATCAAATTACATTTTCTGTTTCCTATACACACTTTTCATTTCACTTGTGATTTGGTTAGAAATCACCAGTGATTTTCCATTTTATCATTCTTGTGAATGAAAAGGGTAAGAAAATAATCAACCCGTTGGCCAAGTTCAGCAGTCGACGGCAAAAGCGCCTCACAACACATCGGCCATCGTGATGAGGCGGTGTGTGAAGGCCAATTCATGAACCTTCAGCACGGGGAAAATTTGTATAGTAAAATCTACTGGTGGCTTATCGGCAGCTGAAGCACAGTATACTACAGTTGAGGAAATATAGCAAATATTGGATGAGTATTCACTAGGTAAAGCATAAATTAACTGATAGTCAAATTAAGATTGATATCAACCTTTTGGTATTGAACTGGAATTGTGAGAGCTGATTCTCAAATTAATATTTTGGGAATGGAGCTGCAATTCCGGGATGAAAGATTAAAGGCAATGCAGTCAGCTGAGGCCGCGTGGTGTTCTTATACACACGAATCCTTGACCAGTCCTTTTTGTTGCGTTTCTCCTTTGTCTCTCCATCCGCCTCCAGCTCCTCCCCCGCGAGACTCACCGGCAGTAATCCTCCAGCTCGGGCCCCTCGACCCAGCCGTGCTCTCCGTAGGCGTCGATGACGGCGAAGTCCCCCGGGGCCTCCCGGGCCACTCTCCTCCACGAGCTGCCCTCCTTCTGCAGGAGGTGCTGGTGGCGGCCCACGACGACGTTCCTCGCATCCGCGTCTTCCTTCTTCGCCGCTCCCTCGGGAAGCTCTGGCCACTCACCGTCTCCGTCGGGAAGCTCTGGCCACTCACCGTCTCCGTCGGGAAGCTCCGGGAGCGGGGGCAGAGGTTGGCGGAGCTCGTCCGGGACGTAGCTGGAAAACGACGAGCTCTAAGTAAAAGCGGTGATGAGGTCTAAGATGATACTTGGTGCCTGCTCTCCAGAGGAAGAATCAGAACTAAACCTTCCTTTATACTAACTACATAAATTCATCTTATATCTGCTTCGTCAGAAAAGTATGTTTCACCCATCCATTTCATAAACCATCTTGGTCAACTACACTTGTTATCGTCACACCGCTTCGACCAGCCACCTCGCCCGCAGGCAGCCTTACCGATACATGTCCACCTGCCGAGGATAGACTATCCTCTCCAGCGACAGGAAATCCCTTTCTAAATAGACGTGGAGACACACGCCCACCTCCTTGGTCTGGGCGTTGCACCCGCTTACGCCCACTGCCGCCCATGCTGGTGGAAAAAGGAAATATTTTATACAAACTGGTCGAAAATCATATTACACTGAATTGATGATGGATGAAAAAACGAACATTAATAGGAAAATGAATACATCAAAATGACGAATGATAACAAGAATAAGAAAATAAACGATAGGAAATAAAGAGAATAGGAAATAAGCACATTCTTATAAATTCCAACAGAACCGGGTAAGTGATGGATGAAAATGCATTATAAAAAGAAAAGAAACAAAATCCAGGAACTTTCGAGTTAAAGTCACTTTCCACTTCGGGCAGGAACACCAGATCGTGTGTGTGTAAGTGTGTATACATATATATATACACATGCACACACACTCACATATGTGTGTGTGTGTGTGTGTGTGTTTCTGTGTGTGTATGTATGTACGTATGTGTATACGAGTATTGGCTGTACCATGCGTCGCACACTTATGGAATGTACAAATATGAGAAAAAAAATATTGATAGAAATTATATTCAGGACTGTTTTCTCAACACAGTAATGATAGTAATGATAATAACGATAATTATAAGGATCATCGTAAGGATAATGTGGGTGTGTGTTCCCGCGTGTTTTCAACTGAAGAGGAAATCAGCTTCTTATTCCGCTCATTTACACTCTGCAATTTGAGCAGAACGTAGAACATACAATGCAAACAGTCTGTCGATCAGCATCGTATAACTTCGTATAATGTATGCTATACGAAGTTATTACGACACACACACACACACACACACACACACATATATATATATATATATTGTGTGTGTGTGTGTGTGTGTGTGTGTGTGTTTCTGTGTGTGTATGTATGTACGTATGTGTATACGAGTATTGGCTGTACCATGCGTCACACACTTATGGAATGTACGAATATGAGAAAAAAAAATATTGATAGAAATTATATTTAGGACTGTTTTCTCAACACAGTAATGATAGTAATGATAATAACGATAATTATAATGATCATCTTAAGGATAATGTGTGTGTGTGTTCCCGCGTGTTTTCAACTGAAGAGGAAATCAGCTTCTTATTCCGCTCATTTACACTGCAATTTGAGCAGAACGTAGAACATACAATGCAAACAGTCTGTCGATCAGCAGTAAACATAAAGGAGAATATCAATGCCAGTAGTAACTGACACAATGATGAACTTACGACAATTATAATAATTAAGATGTCGATAACAATGAAGACTGAAGTCACAGCAAAGGAAGAAAAAGCTGAAGAGAAATAAGAGAAGAATAGGGAGACAAGAGGGAAGGAGGAGAGAGGAAGATGGGAAGAACCGAAAAGGACAGAGTTGATGGGGAGAGGGGGATAGAGGGAGGGAGGAGAGCGGGGAGGATGAGGAGAGGGAGGAGGAGGGTAGAGTGTGGAGAGAGAGGGAGGGGGAGAGAAAGGGAAGCAGGAGGGACTGGGTATAGGGAGAAGGGGAGGGGGACATGGGGGGAGAGACAGGGTGGGGAGAAGGGTTTGCCCAGGGAGAGGATGAGAGTGTGGGAAAGGGGGAGAGGAGGATATGGGTCGATAGCGAGAGAGAGAGGGACGTAGGGAGAGGAGAGAGGGTGAGTAAAAGGGGATTTGGGGAACAGAAGGTGTGGGGAGTGGAGGGGTAAATGGAGAGGGAGAGGAAGATGTGAGGAGAGAGGGAGAGGAAGGAATGGCTAGAGGGAGAAGTGGAGGCAAGCTGATGGGCATAGTTAGAGGGAGAGGGGTGCCTGGGTCAAGAGAGAGAGAGGGGATGCGTAGAGAGAGAGGGGGAGAACAGGGGATGAGAGTGGGCGACGGGAAGGTGTGCTCTTTGAAACCATTATCATAATCAAGCGTGACTCGGGCACATTAGCCCGTGTCTCCTGCACGAAGGGGAGGGGTGGGGGGA